ACAATTACCTAATGGACAGACTAACCTCCCTAGTCAGACACACCACTAAAAAGTTCAACAAAACTTGGGAGTTATGGGAACAATATCAGGAAAACACGGCGGGTTGACAAGAGACTCAAGCACATACATGGGAGGGGGGGTGGTGGGGACACACGTCGACTTTCGCCCGGGCTGCGGGCACGGATGCACCGGCATACTGCACCAATGGACGCTAGGTTTAGGTCCATATATGCTTTATATGTTTTACCCATAGGTATATTTCGAAATGTCAAATGAGTATTAGTTAACAACCATCTAATGTCATGCCAGTCCAAGGGACATGTGTAATTAGGCCAAGACTCGATAGACAGCCACGTAGAGGTGGTGTGCTAAAACACCAAATAGCAATTCAGTCACTGACGAGACTGGAAGCGCTAGTAAACAAGCACATCAGCTGTAGATCACTGCTCTTCTTCTCTATACTACTGATCCACTGAAAAAGGCTCCTGCGTAAGCCTATAAAAGTATTACTGTATGTACCTCAATTGCGGCCTCTGTGTAAGCTTACACCCTGACAGGATGATACGTTCATACAGCGGCTTCTGCGAAAGCCTTGGCTGAGTCATAAATGTGCACTTTATTATTGGCTATGGAAAAAACCAAAGAATTAAAAAAAAAAAAAAAATTTAAAAAAATAACTAAAAAAATAAATAAATTAAAAATAAATAAATAAATAAATAAAATAAATATAAATAAAATAAATATAAATAAATTATCACACGATAAACAACTCCTGGACTACAGAGGCAGGCATGCTAATTTACTTTACTACGGTTTTGAAGTTTTTAAGTTTTTAAGTTTGTATACTTTCCCATGCATTTGTTATGATACCGTTAATTATCATTAGAACAAAAATACACCAACTGAAGTGTCATATGAAACCACAGTAAAAAGTAGCAAAGATTAGGGAAATCAATATGCATACGTGCACTAACGCTTCACCCTTCCTTTCTGTACAACCAAACTATCTGAATATGTAATGTGGCTTCTGCGTAAGCCTATACGTTGTCACAAATATGCATTTCTTTTTGGTGAAAATAAAGAATTTAAAAAAATAAATAAATTTTGTCCTGAGTTTAAAAACACCAAATGTTTACCTTTTTTTGCTTTTATTTGCAAGTTATAGGGCTAGAAGTACAAATAGGAAATTGCGGTTTCAAAATGTACATTTTTCAAATGTATCAATATTGACATTGTAACACTGTTATGTCATACATCTCCAAAAAACACCCCACATGTATATTTTTCTTAAACTAGATAACCCAGGGTATTCATCTAAGAATATTTTGATACTTTCTTTGCAGCCATTTTACCACAAACCTTTGCCAAACTTTGCATAGGTAGTTTATTTTTTTTATTTTTTTCACATACATTGCAATTCAGGTATAAATTCACAGATTCTGTTAGGTGTCACTGCCAAATAACACCCCAATATGTGTTCAGCAACATCTCCCGGGTACAGTGATACCACCCATGTATAGGTGTGTAGGGTTGTTGGGGGGCTAAAAGGCTACGTTTGGCAGGTGCGCTTCTCAGTTTCCCAACTTGGAATTCTGACATGTAATCAACCTGCGCCCATGTCCCATTTGAGCCAATGTATTTTACCCCATCAAACATATATTTTTGAAAAGTAGACACCCTAGGGTTTTTCACATGGTGGTTTTTTAACACTTTCCATGCACTGAATTCTACCACCAGGCTTTGTCAAACATTGAGTTAGTAATTTTGTTTTCTGTTTTTTTCACACACATTGTACTTTGAATGAATTAACAGATCCTGTTATGTGTCACTGCCAAACAACACCCCAATATATGTTCAGCAACATCTCCCGAGTACAGGGATACCCCCAGTGTATAGGGTTGCTGGGTTGTTTGGGGGCCAAAAAGCAACAATCAGAACTTGTACATGTCAGTTTTTCAACTTGATATATAGGTATGCTTGGCCTATCTTCAGTTTGACATATTTTTGCACCCCCCCAGTTAATGTTACGATCATGAAAGTATATACAGTATATATTTTTATAAAGTAGACATCAAAGGTTATAGAAGATGGGATGTTTTGACTTCTTTCCCCCAACCATTTTGCCCCCCCCCAAAAAAACAGAGAAAGTGTAGTGGTAATTTTTAAATTCTGTTTTTTATGCACACGTCATCTGGTTTTGGCCAGCTGGTTACGTGTTACTGCCAGAAAACTTGTTAGACCAAATGTCCAGGTAGTAAATGTACATTTAGCAGCAATCTTTAAACCGACTCCTGCAAATAGAATCTAACTGGAGATTTGGGGGAAGGAAACTGACTAACAAAAATGGCTGCTTTCCAAAGAAACAAAAATAAAATAAAAATTCAGGAATACTTCTTACAACTGTTCTGTGTGGTACAGCTTGAAAAATGTTCCTACACACAGTCCTGGTTTCGAAGGGCAAAAGGGGTGTCTGTCCTTTTCCCGTTTTTAAAACAGACCCGGCAACGTTTCTGGGGGGGGGGTTTTCTAGCAGCTGGCGGTAACTTAAAAATAAAATGCCTGGACTCAGCTTGCACCGTTGTTGGAACTTGTCCATCTCCATAAATTGTTAAAGAAATTATTTTCAACTGAAATTGGAGAAAGATGGTTTTCCCTGGATTATTTTTTAAAAAAAAGCAAAAATGAGTGGTGGGTTGCTATTTGCATCAGATAGATAGCCACCTTTTTATATCATGCTTTGGTTTTTCGTAAAATAAGATATGGCTGCATCAGCTGATCAGCCAAATCAACACCCCCCATGTACTTATTATACGCCCTGATGCAAACCGGTTTGGACTCTACTCTGCCCCGGACAGAGACGTCTGACATGCGTTCGTCATGGATGGTGGTTAGCATGTTGACATCCTTCCTGTCCCTAAATTTTAGTGCAAGCACTTCAGCTTTGCGAAGTGCTTTACATTCGCCTTTTTTTAATTTTGCCTCTATGAGAGATCGTGGAAAGTCTTTGGAATTTTTTCTGGCAGTGCCGCAGGCCAGTGTCTGTAAACCATAAAGTGTTTTAAACAGACGGACACTACTATAAAAATTATCCACATAAAGGTGGTAACCTTTATTTAACAAGGGGTTTAGTAGGTCCCATACAAGTTTCCCACTTGTCCCCAGGGAGTCAGGACAGCCAGGAGGGTCCAGTTGACCATCTTTCCCCTCATATACACAAAAGGCAAACGTGTATCCACTTTCGCTCTCGCACAGTTTTTACAGTTTTATGCCATACCTAGAGCGCTGTGAGAGGATGTATTGTCTGAACCCTAATCTCCCTTTGTATTTCATTAGTGATTCATCTATGGATAAATTTTGTTGGGGGGTATAAACATCCGAAAATTTGTCCTGAAAATGGTCTAGCAGTGGGCGTATTTTATGAAGCCTATCGTATTGGGGGTGATCTCTAGGGTGACAGAGGGTATTGTCACTGAAATGTAAAAAAATCTCAGCAGTAACTCGTATCTGGCTCTAGGCATGGTTTAGGAGAATACTGGACTAGACATTATTGGGTTGGTGCTCCAGTATGAGCGAATCGATGGCCTCTTTATAAAAATACACTTAGAGCAAATTACACACGTATATATATAATATATATAACTATATTATACAAATAAATAATTAAAAATAATCTAAAAATATATATTTTTAAATTATATATATACAGATATATATATATAATTTCATTCTAAGTGTATTTTGATATTTATATATATATATATATATTTATTTCAAAATACACTTAGAATGAAATTATATATATATATATATATATATATAAAACATAATAATGGCACTCACCCTTGCTTCTATAAAAAATAATAGTAGCTGTGCCCTGGTGCAATCCTATCACAATTGGTGAGTACACTTTATGTTTTTCTATATATATGTAGGTTTTATGTTTACATATTGATCCTGAGGAAGACCCTATTGGGTTGAAACGTCGATCAAGTTATCTGTAAACTTCTTATGGATTAAATACTATTATTTTTTGCTGAAAGACCTTTGAGTGCATCCTTTTTTCTAATTATACTATATATATATATATATATATATGCCCTTAACGACCATGGACGTACTATGTACGTCCGACAAAAAAACGGTTGTTAAGGACCACAGACGTACCTAGCATGACCGCGGCAAATAGGAGCCCTAGACTAACCTGGACCAGCG